GATACCTTGCCTGATACCAGCAGCTTTTCTAAATAGTAACCCTTCTAAAGAAAAAATTGCGGATAAATTCGTAGCGGTAGGAATGCATAGGTAGTATTAGTTTTCGAACTCATAATTTTACATTATTACGAAAAGTATTCATAGTGCTTAAGAAGCCATAAGTGTAAATATTTATTTATTTTATTTTATTTATTACACTTCATGTAAAATTTACATTGGCGGACTTAATGCCTAAGGCATTCTCTACCAGTCAACCAAAGGTAGTGCAGAGTAAATAGTGGTAGGTGCAATGAAATTTATATTAGGCTACGAATACATACAAAAAAAAGTATATCTACATATATACAAAATCACATATACATATACATACATAAATACATACATACATACATACATATAATATATATATTATCTCATGATTAACTTCAACTTCAGTGTTACTTTTTTATGATCTACTGCGAGCCTTTTAAAGACTTAGCACCTCTTATGAATTTGAATTAAAACACATTACTACTCGTATAACTTAAGCAGTTAAAACTTAACAAGCCGGAGGAAATTTTGTTATAGCATTAAATATTTTCAGATTGCCATATTTCGTTCAAAGCCCGTGTTCGCTTTCACGTTTCCGGGACTAGTTGACGTTTCGCATACTCGAGAACCGCGCACGCGACCGCAAAATTTTCAAGTTAATTCCCGTAAAATATAAAGCGGCTATTAAATACTGGAAGGGAAGTAAGTCATTACGCCTTACGCGAAGCAGTACGGCTTGTAAAAGACGATGTAATTACGGCAACGGCTTTCGCCGAGACCGCCCGAATGTCGACCCCACCGCAAGCCGAATTCCGCTGAACTTCACACAGCAATTATAATTAATTATAATTTATATTAAGGCTACGTATGCGTGCACGAGCACACCCGATTCACATGATTCGATATTTTCAATTTTGCAAATACAAACGTGTCTTGTACTAATTTCTTATCTTTAATTGATCCAAAGTTATTCTTTCTTTTTTATACTCATCTCGTGTATCTGCTCGAAATTATTTCATCAAGTGATGAACAGTTGACGATGTAGGTTTCTCATTACGTTTTCCTCAAAGTCTGAAGCGGTTGCACTGCAGATGCAACATGTCAACTATTTACTTAATCATTTCGTAGATAGTTAAACGAGTCTACGGCTCTTTTGATGTAAAGTAGTTACCGAAATCTATAGACATCATTACGCGAATGCCACCATCAACCCTCGGACGCAATTTACAAATTACCATACCTGACGCGCTACAGAAGCGGAATAACCTCACGAGCATCCTACGCGCATTGATATATTGAAAGATGTACGATTGCTGGCCATATCCAGCTTACAGGCTGCACGTGTAAAAGGTCATGCAGTAGGTCCAAACGTCGACGTCGCCCAAAACACGTCATTACGGATCCATTAACGGTGCTTCTAGGTACCACAACCACCAGTTACCGTCCTCATCGAACCCATCACTTGCGACGAAGGGCTCGACGAGCGAATTAACCCATAGACACAGCTCGCTGAGTTTCTCGCCGAATCTGCTCAGTGAGTCGCGTTTCAGTTCCAGTGGTCGATTCTGCGAAGCACTGCTCTTGCTAGGTTCAGTGTTAGCATCACTCCGGTTTGAGCCCCGTGAGCTCACCTACTAGTTAAGGTTACGCTGAAATGGCCTCTCAAGGCAAGCTTAGGTAGGGGGGAAAAAAAGGTCCGAAAAAGAGGTACTTTTACTTTTAGTGAGCAGCATTTAAACATGCGACCCAGCATTTTCGCCCTTATCAACAATGCCCTCTGTTTTCGTTCAATATCGGCATCAATACTGAGATCAGGGGGATAAAAATTACCCAGACACTTAAAGAAGAAAACTCGTTTTAGCGACGTCCCGTTGAGTTTTACCGGTGATATAGTTTCTGGTCTTCTCCCTGCCGCCTCAACGCTATCCAACCAAACACCTATGATTTTTCATAATTAAATACCGACCCGTGCGTCAGACATTAGTCTTCGTATGTCTTCATAAGTTTTCTAAGGTCACCAACTGATACACTCAGCATCGACATGCCATCTGCGTAGCTTATATCGTAGATGAACACACCGTCCTATGTAGCAATCGACTCTGGTGCTGCTGAGCTCACGTTTTAGTTCGTTTACATATAAATTAATAGGTGCGATAATAAAAAAGAGATGAGGGGATCATCTCACACAATTCCTCAGAGCACTCCCCATGGAATATACGGTACAAAATACAGATGGAACCGAAGTCCCTCCGCAGACCCAGAGGTTCCAAATGATCCGGGGATACTTTAAAGTTTAAATTGCTTGACTAGCTTAAAATTACAACTTACGACTTACTTAATTACAAATGACGACTTAAAATTACACTAGAATATTCTCGTCGCACCGTATGAACCGACCTAAATATTTTCCGCCATTTTGGCAGCACCAGGTGAGGTCGTGCGTAGTTGTGAAACTCGTAACTTCTTAATAAAATTTACGCCGGCACTCGTCACTTCACAGAGAATCTGAGGAGCGGCCGACTCAACTCCGAAGCAATTATGCAAAGGAGTCCCCCCCTCCTACGCTGAGCCGAAACTTTTGTGTCTGTCAAAATTTCCAGTCGTGATAAAATTTTATCGGTATTATTTTTGGGCTGTATGCCCGAGTTTCCGTGGCTCTTTGATTTTGTTTCGAATTTGGAATGTTAAGAAACGCGATCAGAAATTTCTCATTGACGTTAATGTTTTACTGCCAGTTTACGCTTGCTGCGGCTTATGAATTTAATTCTATTAATATTGCTTGATTTGGTTGGTTCATTGTAAGTTTTAGAATCTTAAGCTCTCTTGTTCGATTCGTAATTCTATCTTATAAATGATTTTTATTTCAACTTTACTCTTTACTATTATTGAACGGCTATTTTCCAAAATTTGCACTTTATAATGTATTCACAATAGTGTTACTTTACAATACTGCTTTGTGTATAGCCGCAAAGACTAAGAACAAATCAGTGTACTTTTTACCCTTACTAAAATCAATTTCTCTTTTTGCTAGCAAATATGAGCAAACAGGCTCACGATTCACTGAGTCATAAGGAAAATAAACAGTTTGTCAGTTCATAGGCACAATCTGATGCCTCCTTGATACAAGGTCAAGTTATGAAATAATATTTTTGCGGAAATATATTAGATTTTCGACTTAAATGAGAACTTCCAACCAGCTTTATTAAAAGGCATAGATCTTTACTACGTTGTGTCGATGGCCATTTAGAATCTATTGAAGCTGTTTCCTAACAATAAAAGTTGATGTCCTTAAAAAAATATTATCTGTGCACTCAACGATCGCTCCATAGATGCCGGCAATAAAACACAGAAAGATTCTCAGCCCTACTCACCCCTTTAAATTATATTTACGTTCAACGTTCAACGTGTCCAATTATGAATGAATGTAATATTTCAAGATTCTCTCCTCTAGTTACGGAAATACAAATTTGTTTAAATTACGAATCTCAATTTGAAAACGTTATTTGTTTTATTTCTATACGCTTCCCTGATTTCGGTTTCGATGGGAATTATTTTGGTCTTCTTTTTGTATTGAAGTATGTTCTTGTTATGAATGTCTTCTGGATATTCATTTTAAAATTCAAGCGTCAAAGTGGCATGAAACTTTATATTCATAGGTTATTAAAGCTTAGCATAGGTTAGATTTGTGCTTTTTCTAGCGCGAAGTGGAGTTTCATGTGTTCTGATTTGAAGGATGGGACGAAAATCGTAACACTGCTATAAAGTTGTAACCTATGAGACTTCATATCTCACGAGACGCGATTGCTGGATAGGATGGATGCTGCATTCATAGTATGATGTCTATAGGCTTCACCACTTAACCTCAGTTAGGTAGTGAACTTGGTCTTTCGTTTACTATATGATAAAAAGTCCGAAGAAGTTACAGAAAGACCGTTGTGGTATGTTTTCTAGGAAAGGGGCTTATTAATTACGTAACTAATTTTCGAAAAGTATGTCCCTAATCTGTGTTCACAAATACTTTCGCTAATAATATACTCGTGTTCGTGTACCAAAAAATAATAATTTTGCACAGATAAACACAATTTCACCCTACTAGTGAATTTTTAGGTCCACTTGGATAAGTACCGCGGTCCTGCCTAATTATAATCATAAAGCAAACGTGTGTTACAGTCGATAGAGTAAAATAGGTTTTAAATGTCTGCAAAATGTTTGGGCCTATAAAAATAACGCTTGTGTTCATTCGAAATACAAACGCCTTGAAACTGCACGTGATTTTATCGCCTCTATGATCTTTCGATAAATAAACCTAGCTGTGTACCACGAAGCTCAGATTTTATATTAGACTAGCGACCCGCCCTCGCTTCGCTTCGGAAACATTAAAACACACATGAAACCAAAAAAATTAAATTAAAAAAATTTAAAAAAAGTAGCCAATGTTCATCAGGGACAATGTCGGCTTCTAATGGAAAAATAATTTTTCAAATCGGTCCAGTAGTTTCGGAGCCTATTCGAAACAAACAAACAAACAAATCTTTCCTCTTTATAATATTAAGTATAGATTTAAGTATCTTTGAAATTGGGTTTGTCGTTTCGAGTCTGCGTGCAGTCTTGTCTCATATAAATGTTATACATATTGAGTAAGAGAAAACCCTAGTTTAGGGTTGTCAAGTGTTTCTTTTTAACTAAATCAATATATATATATTTTTTATTGCTTATATGAGTGGACGAGCTCACAGTCCACCTGGTGTTAAGTGGTAACTGGAGCCCACAGACATCTACAACGTAAATGCGCCACCCAACTTGAGATATAAGTTCTAAGGTCTCAGTATAGATACAATGGCTGCCCCACCCTTCAAGCCGAAACGCATTACTGCTTCACGGCAGAAATAGGCAGGGTTATGGTGCCTACCCGCGCGGACTCACAAAATGTTGTACCATCAGTATTTATAACGTCCTCTCATTTTTTACAGCTATGACACTCGAGTGCTCGGGCCGTCTGCTCACTGGACTGACGAGCCCTTCGCAAACCGAGCCCGCTGGTATAGCACGCCGTCTTCTGGACTCCACGTGGATGCTGTACAGGCCCGAGACAGAGCCGTCTACAGATGCAGGGTCGATTTCCAAATCTCACCCACCAGGAACTACAGGATTGCACTTGATGTAATAGGTAGGCGTTACTCTGTAAATAAATGTAATGGTGCTTTTTTTCACTGCTCTACATAGAATGGTTTATCCTACTCTTCAGAACGAAACGCACAAATGATTTTTGCGTTTGGCGTGTTGTGTTTTGGCGTTTGCTTTACCAAATTACAATACATCCTATCAGAAAATTTAAAGGTTATAGAAAAAAAATTAAAGACATTTTACATTAGTGGAGTTTCCTGGTGCACTCTGTTGCACAGATCGGACGACAGTGTAGAATTATAACGGAAACCATAGAAGGTATAATTAAACTTATTGATCAAACTATGAGCTGCTTTAATCACTAAATAGATTAGGGGATTTTCGATTCCTAATACGGAATAACTTAAAGTTAAAATACGCATTTCACTTTCAATTTTATCAGATAAGTTATCCGATCGCAAATATGTATTATGTTTTATATCTTGAAGGAAGAATAAAACATGACAAAATTCAACTACAATAAAATCTATGTAAGTACAAAAGCTTCAAATTTTCCACTTCGGAGGCGATAAACCAGACCTTTCCTTTATCGCAGGTGCCTGAAAAAACTATATCCGTATCTCGGGAACGATCTTGAGGCAGATAGGCGGAACTCTTAAATTCTCACCTAATCTCTCGCTCGTATCTCTCCCCTTTTTCTACGTTTTAATAAAATAATTCACCCCGAAACAGCGGGCTAACAAAAAGCTATGAAAAGTCGTCGAGCAATCTCGATAAAAACTAGTACGATCGTAAACTTGACCCCCTGTTATCCTGTGAAATCAACACGGAAAGTTTAGGAAAATGTTAAATAGGGATGTGATTCGTCGCGTCCTCATTGTCACAGATATCGATTTCTGTGACAGCGATCGACTAAAGAAGTATTATTTTATCAGGCAATCTATCGTTCAATCAAATCTTCGTTTGTGTTTTGAGGTGTGGAGAAAATTTTTATGCTGATACCAAATGTGTCTGAACCACTTTCTCACCTATTTTTGGCATGAAACCATCGGGGATGCAAGGTGTCGGTAGCTCACCTCAGTCGGGGTCTATACGCTTTGCATATTTACTGAGAGATATTCGTTGGACTGAGGGAAACATTTTCACCATCTACATTGATTAAGAACCTTGTGTCAAGATCATCGTTGCGCATTAAAGTATCTCTATCTCCTTGTAAGGATATAGAGATTCTGTACCAAAAGCCGTACACCTTTTGGTCTACCTGTCAGTTTTTTCTTGTACACCTTTATAGTCAAGAATTGCGATAATTCATACTCTGAAATTTGTTACGATATCCCTGCATCCCAATGACCACTTTTGCCATACCACATCTGACCGTAGAATTAATTCTCTTCCATTATGTTTGAAAAGTTCTAAAGAATATCCTTCTTCAAAATATTTTTTAAGGAATTCCTTAGAAAAAGAGTCTCTGGAAAAGATCTCTGGGTCTAGTCCTGGGTCTTGTCGCTTTCATAATCAAAAAACAAAATATCGAAATAATTTAAGTTAAACAATATTTGTTTCTGTTTTGTTATGGAAACATCATCTAAGAGTTATTTCACTTAACAACTATGTATTGTAGTGATTTATCTGTGCACCTTTATCGATTGTTTTTTTACTAGATATCGTGACAGATTATTTTATCGGTTGCAGTTGCCTATTTGGTAACTCTCTTGAAAATATTTGCACAGTTTTATCAAGTAAACTCTGAACGATGCCAGTGATCTATCAATCAGTACATGCCAGCTTTTGATGCGGGCTGACTTGTCATGCGTAAGTAGCATCTTGAAATAACAATAAAGCAGCCACGGCAAAACAATTCGAAGATTACATTCTAAGCTAAAAAAGTAAAACTTTCCTTGCCTTCATTCCTAAATAGTATTTACTAAGTGTCTATGAGAATACGATTTCTTAGAAGCCAGTCCTTAAGCCACAAAGTACGAGATAGTATACGTTTGAAAAACTATTAGAAATTTTGTAGCATTCGGCAATAATGATTATGTCTGAACACTAATTTCAGAGAAAAAAAATCCCTTTATCGATATCCTATGTCCCATCTCCGCTCTCTTCTCAAGATGATTTACGTTAGCCGCTGACACTAAAAATGTGGGTCAGTTTGGGAATTAAAATTTTATGAGGACTTTGGGTGTATCTAAAACGTGCGTAAAGATAGGCCGTATTACCGAGATGGATTACCTGCTTACATTATGAGCGTCTCTTAGTTTTTACGATATGTATAAAGAGAATATGTTTTTATTTCACGTATGATAAGATTAAATGGGGCTACCGTATTTCCCAAAATGTTTGAAACATTATTGATATTGGAACAAGATTATTAGATAAGAATACATATTTATGTTTTACTGTTCTAGATGAGCAGATTCGTTGTCCACGGTTAGTCATGTTGTTATAGGATCCCGGTGACGTGCCATGTGAATGTCACCACACACCTCGTAACGTCGTGTGGAAGTTTTCTAAAGTGGTTACTGGAGCCCATAGACATCTACAACGCAAATGCACCACCCACCTTGAAATATATGTTCTAAGGTCTCAGTATAGTCACAATGGCTGCCCCACCCTTCATTATGAAACGCATTACTACTTCACGGCAGAAATAGGCAGGGTAGTAGTACCTACCCGCGCGGACTCATAAGAGGTCCTACCACCAGTAATTACGCAAATTATAATTTTGCGGGTTTGATTTTTATTACACGATGTTATTCCTTCACCGTGGAAGTCAATAGTGAATATTTGTTGAGTACGTATTTCATTTGAAAAATTGGTACCCGCCTGGGATTCGAACACCGGTGCATCGCTCAACACGAATGCACCGGACGTCTTATCCTTTAGGCCACGATGACTTCAAACGGTTGCGCCGTGAGTCCGCACGGGTAGATACCACTGCCCTGCCTATTTCTGCCGTGAAGCAGTAATGCGTTTCGATCTGAAGGGTAGGGCAGCCGTTGTAACTATACTGAGATCTTAGAACTTAAATCTCAAGGCGGGTGGCGCATTTACGTTGTGGATGTCTATGGGCTCCAGTAACCACTTAACACCGGATGGGCTGTCAGCAGGTCCACCCATCTAAGCAATTAAAAAAAAACTCTTCCTAGCTTTCTGTATTTGGAAAGAGTTTTATGACCGGCCGCCTGCCTAAAATCAACTCTCCTTGGGCTATATCTGCCATATAATATCCACTTGTTTCTTCTTCTTTTGGTGTTTCGTCAGCTTTACCCGTTTTTTGTTTTATGATTTGTATTATTATTACAAAAAATAACTTAGATTAAATGTAGATTTTAAAATACCAACAGATTTAACAATCATATTTTATTCGCCTAATTTTCTAAAAATCTATCTTTCAAATGTACATCTAAAAATTTGAACATATTCCAAACAATAATAATATACCCCTTCAGAATGAGAATTTAAAAATATAGTAGGTAGCGAGTGACCTAGGGAGGGAGTGGGGGCTAGGGGGTTGATACACTTTTGAGTTTGAGCTAAGGTTACTTAGGAATTGAGCGCGGGTGCGTTATCTTGGTGAAACAAAACAACTTTAGCGAGCTAGCTCCGCCGTTGCTTGCATAATTCCTCACGCAATTTTGTTATTTGTCCTGCGGACAAAGCCCGCCAAATCTTAGCTCCATGATTGAGATATTCGATCATTACCACCCCTTGGCTGTCCCAAAAAAATATGGAATCGCCTTAAATTCGGAGTTGGAAATGGCGGAATTATAGGTCATAGTTATGAATCGAGTCAAAAATCGGTCAAGATCTTGTTGTATCCTACCCAAATAGCTTTCAGTCTCGTTTGTTTCTGCGCGTAAGAAAGCATTCTGGACATCAAGCGCGCTGACTTTTTTGATTTGACTACCTATATGGTTGTGTATAATATTATAGAGACTATCTATAGAAATCTCCATTTCTTCAGCTATAAAACAGACAGTAACACGAAAATCCGACAAGACAATGTTTTCAACTTTTGAAATTATTTGTTTAGTCATTACCGATGTAGGGCGTCCTGTGCGGAGTTTGTCGTTAATGGAAGTTCTTCCTCGTTTGAACTCAGCACGCCAATGCGCAACCACAAATATATAGGAACGTGAACCCCTAATGTTGCTCTCAAGGCTTGATTTACCAGCTCCGTAGCAATATTTTTCAAGCAGAGATACATATTTTATTACCGCGTGAGCTTCAATTTTATCCATTTTTAAGAACACGCTCCTACACGATGCAAGAAATAACGTCTATTTTTTATATATTAATTGCTTTTTTATTATTATTATATCTAATGTCTGAATCAGCCTGCCAGTATTTATTGTTTGCTATCCAAAGAATAAATAGCGCATTATCACTATTTGTTGAACACCCTTCGTATCTTATCTATCTATCATAACGGCTTAAATAAATACAAAGCATAATAATATGTTATTTATGAACGACAAAATCTCCTATATTCTCGTTAATAGAAATCATTAATAGGAGAATACGTGAGTCATTGAAAGCATTATACTTTCCTTAATAACCTAATGGGTGAAGATTAACCTCGATAGAGCTTGTAAAGACCCGTGGATAGTCCCATTCCAAGTTTATCTCGGTCGAATCAACCCGGTGTTACTTGTGGTGATTGAAAGATTTCCCAAGAAACTTTTATTGAGCATCACAAGGGAATCTTCCGGCTTTTGGTGTTGAAGTTTTATATTGGACTAGTGAAACACAGCCACGCTAGGTTGAGAACAGCGCTAATTGTATGAAAAAATATCAATTTCTTGAAACTACTTACACGCCACTATCGTATCTAGATCGTATTAAATATAGTTTGTTTATTCTGATTATGTTCTGAACGTTAACCAAAATCCGTTTTCGAGTTTTTTCGTGGAAGAGTAACAGTATCCAATCAATCCTCACAAACTTAGGAGTTTATAATGCTAGTGGGATTGACTTTTGCGGTCAGAGGATCGATATGAGAATAGTTTAGTCGACCATGCTCTTCAATCGAAGAGA